CATGTTGTGTAGTATGCATAGATTTTTTTTATTCCCATCTGCTAACAATGGCCTGAGCTTCTATTTTTTTCGTGACCACATGACGAAGTAAATGCACATTTCTTTCATATTCAAGATTAGACACCAATTAGTCAAACAAAATATAGTTCTCCAACTAGTACGCCACGATTAATAAGACAATTTGAGAACAGTTGTAGCGCAAAAGCAATAAATAATATTAGAGTGTAATACACGATCCATTTAGACCTTTCAGCCATTCTGTGAACTAAGTGTAAACAATTCACAATCAACAAAAATCGAACAGAACGAACGAGACTTGCTTGTTGAAAAACGACGACGCCCGGTAGTGTAAAACAGGTGGATGAGCTATTGTATATCCCAAATGGGACGCGACCCCTAAAACCTCAGCACAACTTAAAGCTAATAAATACACCTTCGATGCTCTGTGTACATTGCATGATCGAAAGTAATGATAAATAATATGAAAGTCTTTGAAATCACAGGGTATATTTTTTAAAAACTCAAAAAAAGGTTTATCAAAGTGGGGAATATGAGCCATAATTATGTTCATCATTTCATGAGGTGTGTGGTTGTGTGAGTGTCCGACCGCGACGTGTCGTCCACGCTCGTCGTCAACTTATCATGCATGTGTAATTGTGTGTGTGTAAATATTTTAATGTGCATGTTGCGTAGCAATCACTGATCCACGGGCACAATTGGCAAGAGCCACAGAGGCACAGCGATGTCGGAGATTGGAGAAACGGAGAGTCGGAGAGTCGGAGAATTCAAAAAGCCTCCAGAGTAAAGGTCCATCTATATATTCTAATAATAATAAATCAATACTCTTTTTTTTATAACATATTTTTTGAGAACAAAACAATCCACATACGCAAAACAGCGAGAGCCACTGAGCCAGATAAATAAGTGAACCAGAACAATATAAATATAAATACTTGTAAAAGAGCAAATAAAACTAAAGAGACCTAAGAAAAATTTTATATAAAATAGAAAATAAAAGGCAACACGATTTGTTTGTACGAACTTTTAAAAAATGATATTATGTTTTTTTTTAAACAAAACGGAATCCAAATACTATATATTTGTTCTTTTTCACTTGTTTTTAAAATAAAACAAATACCGTACAAAATGGTTTGCTTTACAGTCAGCTGACTGCGTAGAGTTAACTTTTTTATTATAAATAGAAATTCGTTTTTAAAAAAAATGAAATTAATAAACCCATATGTATTTTAAAAATTGGTTTTTTGCAAAACAAAATTTGAAAGTAGGTACATATTCAATAAATTCTTTCAACTATTTAGGAGGTTGGGATGTGCTACTTTGTTTTAGGGTTATTTTGGGCCCAAAATACAGGGAAGGGGGATAACAAATTATCTGAACCCTAGTTATGCCCTAGTTTGTGGAACATTCTCAAACCCTAAGATTGTTGTAATTGAAAAAAAATTATTGTTTGATATTTACAAAGTGTTTGGGACTGTAGCTACAGTAGTATAGGTCTCTCTTGAGAGCTCGATCTTTTTTCAAATCGTTTACGACATCAGATATCCCAGTTCGACATGCACGATATAGAGGGCCAATATGTACTATATTGGGTCAAATGTGCCTATATGTGTACAAGATTTAAAAGTGCAAAATGCACCAAAAATCCAAGTTCTAAAATATCCAAAATAAAATAAAAAAATTTATCCAAGAGGGGGGGACACTAAAACAAAGTAGCACATCCGAACCGCCTTACTCTCTCATCACACACTGTGTGTCGTGAGAGAGAGAGCGAGAGAAAGGTTAAAATATTCATTTCCCTTTTGCTGTTTTTATCTAATTTAAAAAAAAACATATTTGTATCTATAAAAAAAAAATTGAATATTTGTAAATATAATAAATACACCGATTGTTTTCTACTTCTTTTTTTAACAAACATTATTTTTTTATTTTCATCAAGAGCATCTTTAAAATTTAAATTGTCTAAATAAATATATATGTATGTTTTGTAAAATAAATATAAAGGAGTCTTGGAGATGGGGGACTATTTTAGGCACTCTCTTTCTCTCTCTCTCTCTCTACTCTCTCTCTAGAGAGAGAGAGAGCTAGAGAGAGAGTAGGAATAGTAGTATCATAAGTATGTACAAAATACATACTAAAAATTATAATATAGTTGTATGTACATAATATTTTTTTTAAATACATAGAAGTATGGACATAGTAAATATTTACATCTAAATAGTATAAATAATTAAATAGAGGGGGGCCGCTTGCCTGAAACTTCAGAAAGTCTAAACTTGAAACTTGAAATCGTGAAAGGCTGAAGGCCTGAAGCTCGTGAGTTGTGAACTCGTGAGTCGTGACTCGTGACTTGTGACTCGTGACTCGTGACTCGTGACCCGCGTACATGTGTTTTTTTTAAACCCCTTTTATATCTTTTTTTTCTAAATATAAACAAACTAATTGGGAATTGGGGGCCTGGGTACTGGTCTCCTGGCCTCCTGGGACTTGTGAGTGGGGACTGGGGAGTTGGGACGTGTCCGACAGCGACTACCGAGTGTTGAGGGGGGGGGATTCAGGAATGCACTATTTATTTAGTAGTAGGCTGAAGGCTCTCTCTCTAAATAGCTGGCAGTAGCTACTAATAGTATTCTAGTTATTTACATACCCTTCGGGAAATTGTAAATATGTAGCAATTTCGTTCATGATCTCATCTCTCTCTCCTTAGAGTAGAGAGAGAGTATTGGGATTTCAGGTTGATTGCAAACATAAATTTTTGCAAAATTATAGCAAAAATTATAGCAATTATTAGAAAGCCATTTTAGTTGAGGATGCGGGAGCGAACGCACCGGAGCTGGGGAGGTTTTTGGGGAGGTACAAGCCTAATACGAAAAGTGAACCATTGGTGATTGGCGGATAGCATCATCGAATCATCAACAAGATTCAACAGGACGGCCCAAGGCCAACACATGATTCATTTTCTCATTTTTATAGACTCATGACCTATTCAAAAAAAGAGAGATGGGGTGCCCTATTTTAGTATTTTTACATCCATTCCCTAAAACGGATTATTAAATTTTGATTCGCCCGCATCTAAACTACATACATACAACTATGATCATTTTGTTAATTTTTACCATTTTAGTGTACTTCAAAAACAAAGGCCTCTCTTTACTCTACTAACCTGATCTGGTAAACGACACGTGTGTTTTAGAAAAGGACGGATATTAATGCGACGTGTCGTTGTCGCATTGGTCGCAATGGTCATATTTGATCATTGCGACAGATCCTATTTTCGCTTTTAGTGACCAATCATATGTTCCTAATCTAACATTTAGAATCGATTCATTGATATTCCCGTTTATTAAAGACAGCTAATTTTCGACCGCCATTATTTGTTGGGCGGGCTGTTAACGAGTTCCAGTTGCTACTTGGCCTTGCTGACATTCTGACAATAAGCTTTTAGAAACTAGTAACTACTAACTTAGTATTTTTAGTATATCATTAAACTGTATATGTGTTTAGCTATGCGGTGTGATCATTCTATAGTTACTTCACCTTTACCATCAGATACAATGACAAAACAGTTGTGCCCTTCTGCCAGTTACCTCAAGGACAAACCTGGATGGGGCATGGTCAACAAAAGACAAAAGTACCAACCGTCGCACCACAAAATAGACATCTCTACTGTCTCTAAACACTTAAAAAGTACTAACCGTCACACCATAGCTGTCAACCGACGGCGACATGCCGCTTTCATCTGCGACACGTCGTTTATGAATGCAATACATGTCGTTTATTAATACGACATGTCGTTTATATAATCGACCAGTTTCGATGGGACATGTCGTTTTGATAAACGACACCAATTTCATTGCAACGTGTCGTTGTCGCATACCAGATCAGCTACTAACTCTACTAGTCTCCACACTATTATGTTTTTTTACATACATTTTTACTTTTTAGTTTTGTTTAAAAAAACCAGCGAGAGTGTGTCTCTCGGCCTCGCTTTAGTTGTACGATAGGGAGAGTCAAGAGTGAGACTACTCTATTTTTTAAATATTTAGTACTCTCTCTCTTAGAGAGAGAAAGAGCTTCGGAAGGCAGCTAGGCAGATGAATATATAATCATGTATATATGTATGTATTGTCAATTTTGTCCTCGAATTTTTTTTAAATCACCTAATCGAAGTTCCAACTTCCAAGTTCCCTAGTGCCAACTGCCAAGTTCCAAGTTCCAATTTTAAAAGTATTTATTTAAAAACAAATATCATAACTTCACAAGTAAATGTTTTTTTTCTAGATAAACAAAATATCATAGGAGGGGTATTTATTCGGGATCACTGAATATCTAGTTATCTACCTTGTTTTCGATGTAATTTTTCCGCTATAAAAGTAGAGCGATGCATTCGTACACTTCATTCTTAATTTGATAACAAACACTGCTGATCATACTGAAAAATAGACCGTACTAATAGAAAATGTCCGCCACAAAACTTGAAACCCCTGTGACTGCCGTTGGTATCGCTGTGAAGGGCAATCCAACCAAAGATGGAAAATTCGAGGAAACCGAGTACACCATTGAAGGTTTGTTGCAAAGAAGCCTGCTGTGCTGGAAGTATAATTCAATTCACTATCTATATTTGAAGTATAATAACTCTTAATTTTGCTTGTAGCATTGGCTAGTTTAAGTTCCAATTTCAAATTTGAGCGTGCTTGTGCTAGGATGGTTCACCGAAGTGTGTTAGTGTGAGTACTGACGCTTGTCATTCAATGCAACCTCGTGATAATTTATGGCTTTCATCTTTAGGTATACATTTACGAAATGCCTGTAGCAATTCCATATTCACTTATATTTGCATATTACTTGCAGAGTTGAACCCCGGTCAAGTGTTGGTCAAGATCACAGCCACCTCTATCTGCCATACCGATTTCCAGTGCTTCAATACGTAAGTATCATATTCATTCACGATGCTCTCGTGACAGTAAATATGTGCTCATATTTGCATTCGATGACAAATTTTTCAATATAGCTACACCGTGTAAGTTGTATTTTAGACAATTTTACGCCTTCAGAAGGCATCTAGTGGAAAATAGTGTCTCTTTAAGCCTGATATACAAGTATTTCTACTTGTTTTATATTGTTTTCATCGAAGGTAATCGTTCATTATGTATTTATCATGTCGAGCAAATTTATACTATGTATGTTGCAAGTAGATGACTGTTTATCATGCATTTATGTATTAAACTAATATTGATATTTTTTTTATTTCTTAGTGATGGTGCTGTGCCTGGCCATGAGATGTGCGGCAAGATAGAGGCGATGGCAGATGATGTGAAGGATTTGAAAATCGGACAAAGGTGAGTACCGTGAAAAGAAGGGAATTGTAATCAGGCAGACTTAACGTTTGTTGAATAGGTGATGTGCTAATTGAGAGACGCTGTATCGTATCGTAGCGATAGAAACAGCGCGACGATTTTGATATATTTATAGGTACTTAAAAGCTTATAATGTTGTCTTTTCACTCACATATGTCATGCTCTTGCCAAATACAGAGTTGCTATTGGCTGGCAGCGGAGCTCTTGCCGGGATTGTGAATTCTGCAACAAGGGAGAGGAAAATATGTGCCAGAAGAAGGTACGTCATTTCACCTACTCGCAACTCGCTTTTATCCACATCTCAGAGCCATTGTTCGAAATTGTCATTGCATGAATGCTCGGTACTTTGTTTATAGAGCCTTCAAAGACTATCTGCAATTGCGTCTTTGATCGAGTTTTGAATGGACATTCGTTTTCATATTTAGTGCCTGAACTAAAATGGAGCACATTAGCATTTGATTTAGTATTGGCAGGATGACTCACCATTTATATCTCTCGCACAATATAGACCAATTTCCAAGATGGTAAAGCCGGGTGGGCCACCTATGTAGTGTGGGACGCGCATTTCGTTGCGCCCGTTCCTGATTCTATCGAAGATTCGGCCGTCGCTCCCTTGATGTGGTACATGTCAATCTGATCGCTGTTGTCTCTATTATGTTTAGTGCCTCGTAACTTGATGATTGTACTTCGACGATTGCTGACGTTTACTGTAAAGACTGTACATAGTATCGATGTGGCAGGCTTTGAGCAGTTCTTATCTAATCTTTATTGTGTTTATGTCACGATAACATTGCGGAGAGTGGCGGCAGCTTATTCGAAATTTGGAATGTGGAATGTTTGTTGATGGAAATAACCATGGGAAGCATTTTTACTTGTATATTTTTACATAGCTATCTGCTAATACTCACTCATCTGCTCGAACCATCACATTCAGCGCCGGCACCACTGTGTACAACGCTTTCAAGCAGAACGGCGTGAAGAAGGGCGATAAGGTAGCCATTGTGTCTATTGGTGGTCTGGGCCATTTGGGTCTGATGATTGCTCACAAGATGGGATGTGAGGTGACCGCGATCTCACGGGGGATGGATAAAAAGGTTTGTGACAAACCGGTTCCGGATCCATTACTGCTAAGATGCTTATGTATGGCAGAATTATTACACACTTATACATCAGAGTATCTTTCCACTTGGATGAAGCTTATTAATCCTTCTCACCATTGGGTCTTTCTTTGGTATATGCAGGAGGAAGCAGAAGGGTTTGGTGCAAATAAATACATCGATTCAAAGAACAAAGACCACGTCAAGGCGGCCGAGAAGGAGTTCGACTTCATGCTCATCACCACCCCGGCTGATCTTGATTGTGATATGTATGCGAGTATGATCCAACCCCAGCATGGTGTCATGTGCTTTGTAGGTGTACCACCAAGCTTCAAATTCACCTTCGGAATTTACCCCATCATTGTCGACAATATCAAGGTGTGTTGAAATCACCATCTTTGTTTAATTGCAAAATTGTACAGTTGTTGGTCACACTATTCAAAATAAGTCACGTGCGGTTAAAACAGAACGTGTGTTGTGCACCAAGCCATGTTTGCACTTTGTTGGAGCGGCGTTACGTGTCTGTTCCCTATTCTAGTAGTTACGTGTGCACCGCACGTGTCGAGAAAACTTGCTCAGATAATTTCTTTACATCGAATTTTCTTATGGGCATCAATGATGCCGATTGTGCCTATATTTGTATGATATCCCAAATGTTCAATTGCAAACTGGGTAGATATATGTCACTCACGTTTTGTTTTTCTTCACATTCTTTCCAGATAACCGGCAGTCTGATTGCCAGTCCCGAAACCACAAACGAGATGTTGAAGTTTTGCGCCGACAATGATGTGCAGCCGACTATTGAGCGTTTTGAATTCAATGCGGACGCATTCTTAAAAGCTGTCAAGAGAGTAAATGACAACGAAATCCGCTTCCGAGCGGTCATGTTACTCTAGATAATATAGTATATTAAAGAGTACATACATTACACTACACCGAGAACTCGATATTCATGTTACGTGTGGAAGTCAAGAAATAGAGTCGCGCTACATTATGTATAGCAAAACTGTGTTGGAGCTGTGTTCATGGTTTGATCATTCTTTTCATGCAGTTTGATCATTCTTGTTGTTTCTTGTATGCTTCTCGTGTTACTTGATGAATGTTGATCTAATAATTGTTGAGTTTCGTTCAAAATTTTACATATTGTATGTAATGAGGTATAGTATCTGATGTGCGTTAGTGTATACAATGTTGATATATATACCGTGTGTATTTGAAAGCGTTCTGCGGAATATGGAGATATACGCGGTCGTATGTGTGTGTCCAGTTAATTGCATCGTTGTAGGTGTCGTTAGTGCGTTCGATTATACTTTCCTTAATGAGAAAGAACGAAACCTTTCATAGTTCCATATGTATTATCAGTGTGCGCGTATGAATCTGGCTGCAATTGCGTACTTGCGACCGGAGAGATCAAAGTCGTTCCTAGCTTCCATATGTGTTTATCAGTGTATTTCATATGAATCTGTCTACAAATATGTACTTGTGTAGAATCTGTCGACAACTATGTACTTGTGTACTTGTTTTGCGAACTAGACTATTATACTTTACTCGATAAGGCATATCGAAGTATTTTCCTAGTTTCCATGTGTGTTTTTCAAGTGTTAATATGAGTCTGCTTACACTTCTGTACTTGCTTTGCCTAGTATGTGTTTTGTACATATCCGGAACAATTAGTATAACAAGCAGGTTTGATGAGATAACACCTTGGAAACGTGCTTCACAGCCTGCGCAACAGAATAACGAGATTCTGGTAATATCCAAATCATAGTTTTCCTTTTATCCGTGAAAGCAATGTGTCTTCCAAGTACGTGCGACTCCCTACATCAATCCATCGCGGACGTTTCACAACAAACTGAAAGTGGCACTTAATTTTTAGCTCTCTGTTCACATGCCAACGATTAATACCAACAAATCTCTCCAGTATAAGCAACCAGTTTCAAAACAAAAACCGATAAACCATTCATACAAGACTTGAGGCCAATTTATTCTTAAATGGCTGTTGTGAAAATTCCATTGCAGGTCGGTGCCCCTTCAAGTAGTTTGGGCTGCTGGGTGATTGGATCCACGGAAAAATGAATAATTGCTATAATTGTGGTCTTATAAAAAGAGGAGGAGAAAGAACATCTTCTTGAGCTTTCATGCCCATACCAGCAGAACTAAGCAAACATTAATGCGCGTGCAACAAAATTGTTGTATCGCTCCAGAGGGGTTTTCCACTGATTTGTGATGTGTTGTGTTTTGTCATATAGTCGTGAAACAGTACACTTATGATCTTTCAGAAGGGCCGCTTATTCGCCCAGGCCGCAGGAGTGTGGCTTGAGATCCGCTGTGATGATGTAATTTGCCATCAGTGTGCGGATCCGCTATATAGATATCTTATCATGCAGGCCAACTGTGATTTTTCAGCGATCTAAAACTTCAAACCGAGACGAATTCTGTCTCTGATTGAGCCATAACAATCGAAATAGACAGCTCCCTCCACTCGCACAAGCGGTGGTGTCAGTGTCAACCCATTCATGTGTGCTACCAAGCTCTAGAAATATAAACTATAGGACTACAAGCCTAATAATAGCCCCCCTGGCTGCCCCCGCCCTGCTGATACTGCCTGTACGGATCGCGTTGTTGTTGCTGGTTAGGGTTATGTGGGCCTAACTGCTGTGCATGATACGATGACAAGGGGTGTCCATTCACCCGCGAATCCTGGCCCATATACCCGAGATGATCTGGAGGTCCGCTATTTGCCCTTGCATCGCCCGAAAACGACCCCTGATACCTCGGTCGCCCACCCCCAGGCGCACCCGGCGATCCCATTGGATACCTGGGCTGCGGCGATCTCGAGTCGTGCATAGGTCCCATCCCCATTCCCCCCCATACCCAAACCTCCGGGCATATTCCGTTGTTGCGCTTGCTGGGCTTGGGCCTGGGCTTGGGCTTGTTGCGCCTGTGCCTGCTGTGCTTGTGCTTGCTGTGTCGGTACCTGGCTAGGGAGTCCCTGAGTCTGCTCGCCAGGCTTCTGTGCTGCTTTAGCTTTCTTCTTGCTCGACTTGATGTGGCGTAACCCGCACGCATTGCACAAGCATACACTGCCATCGGGGCCTCGCCTCCACTGCGGTGTCTTCGTGCTCCCACACTCTATGCACGACCGCACCACGCGGTCTCTACCGTCGCCGTCCAGATCTTGTCGATTCGGATCTGCATACACAAGGAAGAAAGATTCACCAAAAGTCGCGAGTTAGCTTGTGATTTCGAGCTGCTGATATCTCGGCTTTTTATATATTTGGACGAAATATTTTTTTACAACAATTTGCACGAATTCGTACACAGCCACTAAAAAGCCCCCCCGGAGATCTCACTTGAGAAAATATCAACATACCCATATGCCGTTGTAGAAAGTTTATGGCGTGATCGTGGTCCTTTATGGTTGCTAGATCGAGAGGCTGCAATTGAAGAACAAATCGAACGTGAGAGTGCGTTCGCGAAAACTCTTCACTCTGATAAAGCAGCACCTAGTGTATGTTAAAGGCGCTGCTCAAACTCATGTTCATAAAGCTATCACCAAGTCTATTCGATGAGAATCATTGTCGCCGCAGATACAAATGCAAACCAAATGCATCTATTCAGACACATACATTGGAACCCCAATTGACATTTAAATTTACACCACAATTAACAAAACGTTGAGCAGACGTACCGATTTCCCGGCCTGCGTTCGCGCTTGAATATTAGCGCCTGCGTTCAGTAACAGACTCAACCCTTCAATGTTATTCATCACTGCCGTCCAATGTAAGGCGGTCCATCCTGTAGTCATACACGGGAACATAAATATGGAAAGTGTGAGAACTCGGCGATAGCTCCCAACGTGTTGAACAAACGCATTCAGTCGTAATGAAATAATGCGACACAACCTGGGTCACTCAAACACCCAAACTTTTTGTGAATCCGTCTGAGATTTATTTATCTGTATGCCCACAGAATTGATAAGTGAGACACTGCGTGCTCGAGGAAATCCTCACCTTTTCGATCCTGTGAGTCCAAGTTGGCATGGCCTCCAATCAGAAGCTCCATGATGCCGTTAAAGCAGAGTTTTGACGCCAGAATAATAGCAATAGTATCAGCCTCGGGCAGCATAGCATCGATATCTTCTCCACTCGCAATAATCAGTTGTATCTCTCGAACATCGTTCTGCGTAATGGCCTCAAACAAGCTCTTGGTCGGAAGCTCCACAGCAGTACCGCCGCCGCCGCCGCCGCCTCCGTTCCGGCTCACCACAAGTGCACTGTCCATTGGGCCTCCCGGTACACTGCCATTCCCACTAACTGCACCAATACCATTGCGCAAAGGCAACTCTCCATCTCGATCTCGATCTCGCTCGCCTATACCGTTGCCCATACTACCGCCCACAACCCGGCTGCTCCCATTGGCTGGGTGGCTAAGTTCTTTCATCAACGCCCCTTTATCGTCATCGTACCGTTGCTGTGCGTGCGCGTGTTGTGCGTAACTGACGGGGAGGTCGGGACTGCCAGACAAGGCTCGTTTAATATTAGCGTTCGGCTCACGACGAGCAAATTCTCGTGTCTCCTCGTCCTCGCGTGGTTCTCTGTCTTTGTGTAGTTCACGAACATCTCTTTCTCTTTCTCTTTGCTTTTCACGGGCGTATTCACCTGTTTGCAACGATTATTAGTGAGATCTAATCTGGAATATGCACTCAATATTAAATTCGAAATTGCCAATCCGACACTCCTGCAGGAACTAACCTCGTGATTTCTGCCATAAGACGTACCCAAATAATAAAAGTAAAAACCCCCATGAAATAAGAACCTGGACACCTTAGGACACATTCTTCGCAATATAAAATGAAACAAACAGTCGTCATGCTGTCATGCTTGCACTTACGATCTCGATCCCGCTCTCGTTCTTCAAATTCTCTTTCGCGTCTGAATGCGAGTTCCGCCTCGGTCAGGCGGTCACCTCCAGATGAGCCGTAGTATGCAGAACTGTGATCCAGCTGTGAGAAACAAAAAATTGGGTGACAGGTAAGGATCGGCCGTCAGAATCAGAAAATATATGTGGAAGCTCTAGGTCTTCGCACCCATCGTCCAACACTCCACTCTCGAGTGTTGCACGAAACAGTAACGAGCCTGTAATATGATATTTAAATCCGTGAGAGTGACCGAAGCACATGAGAAATTGAAAATACACGAGAAAAGTACATCAACAGAAAAGAACTAAACAAAAAATAAAGCAGATCTTCTACTTACCGATCTCCAGCCAAATTAACCGGATGCACATACATTTATGCGATACACAGATATATATATAGGTATATATTTATATATTAATATATTTATTTATATA